AGCCTGAAACCAGTTCACCTGATAAATCCAGGAGGCATGATAGGAGCAGAGAAAGAGATAGAGAGCGTGACTTGAAACGGGATAAGGAAAGGGAGCTAGAGAGAGTTGAGCGAGAACGAGAAAGAGAGAGAGTTAGAAGGGAGAGGGAAAGGGAATTGAAGGTAAGGGAGGCTGAGCGATTGTACAAGGACCGTCTGAAGGAGTGGGAATCTAGAGAGCGAGAAAAAGAGTACCAGCGTCAGTATGAGAAGGAACGGGAGAAGGAAAGAGAACGGGAACGTCGGAGAGAGATTTTGAGGCAGGAAGAGGAAAGTAGTGGTGATGACGATGATGACTCGAGGAAAAGAAGACGCAGGAGTGTTATACTTGAGGAGAGAAGGAGAAAGAGGCAGCGGGAGAAAGAAGAGGATTTGGATGATAGATCGAAAGAAGAGGAGGAAATTGCTGAGGCTAAGAGGAGGGCATTGGAGGAGCAGCAATTAAAACTTGACTCAAGGTCTCCTGATCAGATGATTATTGAGGATGAAAATCCTATTGTGCAAGAAGAAGAGAATTTTGTTGAAATAAAGCAAATTGCTTCAGTCCAAGCTCCTGAGGTTTCTGGAAACACTATTAATAATGGTTAGTTTTTGAATTTTATTTATTATGGTTGTTTTACTGTTGTATGTCCTTTATAATTACAAAATTATTTTTTATGACAGTAGATGGAATTTTTAGAAACAGCAGTGCTGATGACCTTAATATGGTGCCAGTTGCAACCTCAGACACCAAGCAGAACAACAATATTCCAGCTCGGAAACTTGGGTTTGGTCTAATAGGCTCAGGAAAACGAACAACTGTTCCCTCTGTTTTCCATGAGGAGGATGATGAGGATGTGGATGAGAAAAAAATGAGACCACTTGTGCCAATTGATTACTCCACCGAGGAACTACAGGCTGTCCAGATAAATGCATCTACACCACAACCAAATTTGGTGGCTGCTTCTGAATTCGCAAAGCGCATCTCTGGTGTCAACCCAAAAGAGGAGAAGTCTGATGTGGATAGGGAAAGAAATAGACGTTCTAGTGACAAACTGAGCCTGAGAGAGCGAGATCGTAATGATGATGACAGTAGTCGTTTCAAAGATGAAAGCAGGGAGAAGATGCATGAAAAGAATGTTGATAGGGAAAAGGGTCGAGAAGATAAGCAAAAAACTGAAAACAAGAAGCTTTTGGATGCGAAGCAGTTGATCGACATGATCCCGAAGACTAAGGAAGAGCTGTTTGTCTATGAAATTAATTGGGATGTGTACGACAAGGTAAGATGTTATCTTATATGATATCCTAATAGAATTGCTCTTGCTGAAGAGTTTTTGCTTGCCTCTCAGATGTTGTGAATGTAAATTCTTATTAGATTATCTTTTTTAATTCATGGTGATAAGGGGATTGATTACATGGTCTTTATGCTTCTCTAATCTAGAATATGATTAGGTCAGTGAGTGAGTTTTGGTGCTTCTTCGTTGTTGACCTGTTTCAGTACTATAGTATTTTGTTTGAAATAGATATAGCAAAAGATCTTTATGCTTCACTTGTCTAGAATATGATTAAGTAGGTGAGTGAAATAGATGGAGCAAAAAATATTTGGAGTTAAAGGGAACTTATGCCTATCATAGATGAACTCGGACGATCCTTTGTTTGTCTTCATTATGCAGTTCTCTAGCTGCTTGGTTTTTTTCATTGTTAATGATATATACCTTGATCTCCACAGCATGAGTTGCATGAGAGGATGAGACCATGGATTTCAAAGAAGATAACCGAGTTTCTTGGAGAGGAGGAAGCTACTTTGGTGGACTATATTGTTTCTTGTATCAAAGATCACATACAAGCATCGACAATGCTAGAAATGCTTCAGTCTATTCTGGATGACGAGGCAGAAATGTTCGTCCTCAAAATGTGGAGAATGTTGATATTCGAAATCAAGAAAGTCGAAACCGGCTTATCTGTGAAATCAAAATCCTAGGCTGCAGGTTATATCTCTCTCAGTTTCGTAAATTGTTAATGTTTGTCAAATCTTCTTCAGTAGCCTTAGAGTCTGTGTCTGTAGGCAACAATATTCTCCGAGTTATTGCGTATCTGGTACTAATCACTTTGTACGGCAATCAAACAAGGATTTACGCCTCTAATTAAAAGGGGTTTTCATTTTTTTTCTCTGGCCGATATGTTTCCAGTCGTCATCTCACAAAGCAAGTTTTAGTGTGTTTCTGATGCCTATTCATTTAAAAAAAATGCAGTAGTTTGTGATCGTAGTCATATAATGAGGTCAGAAACTATAGTGGCACTGTGCAATTAAACATTAGTGCATGGCTTGATAGTGACTATCTTTCAAATCTTCTGTATTGGGTCTCACTTGAACAATCATTTTCATCGGTGTAACTTTGGTGTTGCTGGTGAATTTATCATCTTGTTCATCTCTTGCAACATGGTTGTGATGTCTCCTCGTGTGGTATTGTTGTGATCAGTAGTTGTGAAAAAGAGATGCTAAATTGACAAACCTATTCATGTCTCTTGGCGAATCAGTTTGTGTTCCATAGAAGGTTGTATGTATGTAGTGTTTGTTAAATATGAACATGCAATTCTATGCACAACTGTGAATTTTGTTGGGTAGAAACAAATAGTATTTCTGTAGATGATGTCGCAGAAGTAGGAGCTTTTACTCGGCTTTCAATTTAGATCCTATCTAACAAAAGGAGCTTCCCAGTTCTTGCGACTTCAGCAAGCTCCTCTTTAATTCACTTGTTGGAGGAAGTAATTGGTCCAGCCTTGATTTATCATTGCAGTTCGTCATTGTATTAACTCCCTCGTTGTGGATTCCTAATTCTTGATTACAGTTCGATTCAAATGGGAACCAAACTATTCGTTGGTTTCAAATCAAATCAGAATCCAACTTGGTTATTGTTCCTCGCTTGTGAGAACCGGAAATCCGTACGCTGTCGTCGGATCAGCTGACGCTGGGTCTTTCTCTCTCCTCTGTTTCCTCTCTCTCTCTCTCTCTCTTCTCCGTTGCTCCCGGCCCTATCATAGTCTTTCTCTCTCTGATTTGAGGGATTAATTATATATCATCTCATTTAGTTAGTTAACCTTAATATCTCAATCTCTATATTTTGAAAAGTTATATTGATATTCGTATAAATATGAATATATATATATATTATTGATTTTATCAATGAAAAATAAAAAAAAATAAAAAGATAATTTTAACATTCTATTTGATGATAATGAATGATGTTGATAGTGATGGATGATGATATCAAGGACCGCAAGTGATTGTTATGGATAAGGAGAGTGATGATAAGAGGTGAGGGTCGCTCTACATCTATGTCGACTCTAATATAGTTATCGACGACTCTCATATCTTGTCGTCGTTCTTTTCATCCACAACAATCATCTGCAGCTCCCAGTGGCACTGTGTCTACCACCACCAATGCTGTCTACCATCACTAATTGAAATATTAAAATTATCTTTTTTATCCTTTATTTTATTTTTATATATTTCATTAGTAAAAATTATTATATTAAAATAAATAAATTTAATTATTTTATTTTTATAACTATAGAGATACAAATATAATTTTTTAAAATATAAAAATCGAAATACTAAATGTAACTAACGTAATATATAATTAGCCTCATCTGAGTTAGGTGTCATCTTTGATTTTATACTCAAGCGGAGTTTGAGTTTGATTTTGTACTCGAGCTTAACATCCAAAATATAGTTTCGCATCGACAATAGTTGAAGACACATCATTATAGCTTATTCATCTCATCGGAATGCTTATTCTAATCGATGAACTTATTCATCGAAATATTTATTCCAAGATATATTCATCGAACACTTATAACGAGTCAAACCATCATATCTCATAATACAAAATGCCCCACGAGTAATGAACGCCACCTTAGAATAGCATATCTGGTCAATCGTGATAGATTGTAAGCTGACGTCGATTAGATTGGACGATTAAAGTATTCGAGTCTCTTTAAAGAGGCTATAGATTCAAATCCTCTTGGACAGCGTAGCACTTGTTTGACCGAATGACCATCCAACGTGGGGATTGCGTGGAGTGATGGGGCTAAGTATATATTATCTTTTATAATTATATCATTTTAGTGTTTCGGTTTTTAGAATTAAAAAATTTATATTAAAATTTCTGTAAAAATGAAATAAATAACTTTATTTATCCTAATGTTTTCGGTTTTACAGATAGAATAATAAAAATGATTGGTAAAAAGAGAATTTCAACATTCTAATTATATTTTTTATCGTGATGGACAATGATATTATTGAGAGCCACGAATAAATGAGAAAAGAGAGTAATCACGAGAGGTGAGACAAATGGAGAGAAGGAAAAGGACGACATGCTCTACATATACATCAACGTCACTCGATAATTGTGTCGACACTGATGCAAATGTGGAGTGGCATCATTCTGCATTTACATTTGTGTCGACAACGATGTGGGGAAGGGCGACATTGCTTAGTATATGCATAAGTGACAACACTATAGTTGAGTAATGCCGAGATAGAAACATAGCGTCGATATCTATATCGTCCTTTTTGTCACCTCTCTATCTATATCGTCCTTTTTGTCACCTCTCATCCCTTCTCATCTACAGCAATCACCCACAACTCCCAACGACATCACAATCTGCAACCATCAAAAATATAATTATGATAATAAAATTATCTTTTTGTCCATCATTTTCATGTTTTCATCAACGTAACTATAAAAAGTACTTGTAATTAGTTCGAAGTGATGAGATGACGATGATTCTACTCGTATATACAAACTGGCCATAAAGCTGATTGAAATTTCTGATTTCAGCACATAAGAAACGTAGCACTGCACCAAACAAGTTGACCATGTCCAATTCAAGAGGCTGTGCAAACAATAGATTCAACACTAGCAGAACAAATTTGACCGTCATCACAACCAATTACGTGCAAAGAAAAGGTATAAAAGATGATAATAAACGTTCTTTATTTTACAGACAAATGAACCATCTCAGCAACAGGAATTCAACCAGTTTGGCATTCCTAAAGCATTACATTCACAGCAAAATTGGCAAAGGATGGTTCCATATTTACAGCAGTATTTACATTATTTACACCCATATGTACATGATGCAATAGTGAAAATCACCAATCTAGATATCGCGAGCAAGGGGATGATAAAGAATAAACCAAATTCAAAATGATCTGAACCTTTGGGATGTTCTACCACGCCGTAATAAACAACATCGCGAATCGATTCCAGCAGAATTTTTGTTTGCCATGAAACTTTTCCTTTTTTTTTTCGCTCGGTTTAACTATAGGTTAATCACAGCTCATGGTCTTCGACACACCTTATAAGGCGAAGCTATCAGTAAATTTCCGCAAAGTCAGTTGCTTTGGAGAGAAGAAAGCCATTCTTCTATGTAATTCTTGCCATCTGCAACATTCAAATTGGAAACAGCATCAGAATAAGAACCAATAACATGTAGCATCTTCAATGGAAATCATCTAGTATTATGCATCAGGGACAGAAGAAAGCGATCAATATGCATTTCTGCTACAAATCTAGCAAAAATCTATCTAATTCAAGCTAAGAAGAAAAAGATTAGTCATGATTAGTTTCCACAAAGTCAGTTGCTTTGGAGAGAAGAAAGACATTCTTCTATGCACTTCTTGCCATCTGCAACAACTAAATTGGAAACAGCATTAGAATAACCATCAATAACATATATCATTTTCAATTGAAATCCACTAGTAAAATATCTAACTACTTAAGCTAGGAATAAAATTTTAGTCATGAGTTATTAACTCCCAAAAGCCTTCAGCAAGATCCCATGCATTTAGAATAAGCAAGATTTTCATTAAATTCAAAGAAAAATAAAGATATACAGGGATAAATCAACATTGTACCAAATAGAAAAATATTAGATGCCATTCACAAAAAAACTTTGCAAGAAGAAGAAGAAATCAAATAGTTCTTACAAGAAAAAGTTGAACTACAATGATTGTACTAGTGGTGTATTGGATGTAGTGAGACCATGTGGAAATTCCAATCTAATTTCGACATGCAAAGAGGGCATAGACTGCAATAGTGATGCAGTTGAGCATTGTTAGGAGAAAAAGACCAACATAAACTAAGGGCAGAAACAACAAGAAAGGATGCAGTAACTTCATCAGCACCAAAAAAAATGTTGTCTTTGATGCAATGTAACAGAGGGAAAGGAATGCTGTTTGTGCAACCAAATGGTTCCTCGATTGGTTTAAGATCTTCGAATGAGATCAGCATTTTGACTCACCAGAATGACGATCATCCATGCGATCGACCGCTCCCAAGACACGGGACTTGGAGCTCTCCGCCTGCTCACTACGACCACGGCCATAACACGGGACCAAGACGGCGAAGCTGCAGTTCTCCGAGTCGCTGTCGCTCTGGAACTCGGGGTCATGAGGTTCCAACCACCCAATCGACCAATCCGAGTCATCAGACTCGGACCCCGACATGCATCCGCCATCCGAGGGCACAAGGACGATGTCATACTCTTTATCGATCCGCCGCTCCTCCCGGCTCTGCCGCTTCTTCTTAACTCTCCTCGAACTGGTTCTCATTCCGGCACCATTAGCTGATGGAAATCTTAAGTAATCCTGCTCCTTAAATCCCCAAGGCAATTCGGGAGAGGAAATTAGGGACGGATTGGGGGATTCCTGATCTTTCCCACCCCAAATCCAGAAGGCGAACCTCGTAAACGACACCGACATTTTTCTCTCGGCTTGCCCAAACTAAGAGAAGACACCTTTTGGAGAACTCGACCATCAAAAGACCAATTTTTTGCCGAAGAAAGATCAAAGTCAATGACTTTCCAACAAAATCACTTCGTTAGGATCAGAAAAATCTGAATTTTTTTCTCACGCTAACCATCAACAAAATCGAAATCTTCTGAACGAAACGAATCGAAACAAGAATAAATATGAATCCACAAAAGATCTTCTTCCGAATAGAACAAGAATAAATATAAATCCACAAGTATTGGAAATAGAACTCCTAAAGAAACCGCGAGAGATGCGTCTCGGAAAAGAAATCCAAATCAAAAAGCAAGCTTTATTGTGTGCTGATTAGAGTCACAATCCCACATGAGGATAAGAGCCTCGGACGAAGAGAGATTAGGCGAGAGAGAGAGCGAGAGAGAGAGAGAGGCTAGCGATTGAGGTGGGGTGCGTCTCCCCACCGCGTCGTCGTCGTCCGCTGGTTTATAGCTCTCTGACCGTGGCTTATCCCCGAGAACGCGCTTCCCTCGGTGATCGCTCCCGTCGAATCAGCGGGCCCCGTCAAGGCTGCACGAATCTGGAAGGTGGACTATGTCGTTTCCCGTGGAGTCGCGCATATGCCACCATATGCGACGCTTTTTCATCCGTCCGATATTGAGATCGACGGTAGATATGTGATGAGGCCGACTCAACGTATGATTGCGACGCAAGGAACTGCCACGTCGGCGCCTCGCCGAACGTTAATTCAAAATTAAGATCAATACTTCAATTACCAATTTTTAGATTAGCCGAACAGCCGCCCAACTTTTGATTGGAAGCCACGATGCTTTTTACGGGGGACCCACATAAAGCAATCCAGGTAAGGATTTTAGTATGGCTTTCTGACCGCGAGCTTATCCCAGAAAACGCGCTCCCCCGGTGATCTGTCCCGTCCAATCAGCGGGTCGCATGTAGAGCACACGAAAGGTCGCGCATATACGACCATATGCGACGATTTGTCGACCGTTTGATTTTTGAGATCAACGGTTCACTGTGGTGGGACCGATGTGGCTAATATTTTAGTTGTTGCCCGTCCAATCACGGCTTAGAATTGCGACGCAAGGAACTGCCACGTCGGCACCTCGCCTGACGTTACTACAAAAATAAGATCAATATTTTCGCTACTTATTTCTCCTTTACCCGCCTTTGTCTTACACAGTAGCGTGGCTTGGTCTATGGGGCCCATACGAAGCAATCACAGTAACTTGGAGGATGAGTCAGTATTCGGCTTATACGTTTCACCCGAGAATAAGATAAACTCTTTCGCTATTCATTTCCCGGTCACCATTACACGTGCCCGCCTTTTGATTGGTCAAAGCAATAGCTTCTCGTGTGGGGCCCGCACAGGGAGCAAGCCAGGTAAAGCTGACGGTAAGTGAGTATTTGAACACCCGGTCCCACCTAAGAACAAGATCAACGCTTTGCTTACCCAGTTTCTGTTCACCCGTCTGACCTGCCCACCTGGCTTCGCCTATGGGACCCACATTAGCCAGCGAGGTATATAGCACGATAAAATAATATATGAATAAATAGCACAAGATAACACCCCACTGATCTTAATTACTGGCAATCAATTGCTTTGCACTTGAATTGGTTCACAAAATTTTTTTTTCCTTTGTTCAGAACTTGTGGTGAATATAAATCAATATAACTCAAACATTGTTGTAGCTTCCACGTTATGGATTCTTATCAGCATCTACACACGTCAATGACCAAATCAAAAGAGTAAGGCACATTTCTTTGCAAACTAGAGTGTGTTTGACTCACTGTTTTAGTATTTTTATGGAATTTGTGGGTTTTTCTATTGTTTTTTCAGTAGCTTAAACTTTGTGTTTTTGGTAGCTAAAAGCCTTCTCCTGTGTTAGTAGCAGGGAGAAAGTTGCAGTGGAAAAGAAATTGACAATGATAATATCAATAATAACTTTATGTTTATGTTGCTCAATGAAAATATGATTTGCTCTGATATGATTATCCTAAATTTTCTTTGAGTTTGATACGCCAAGTTACCTCGAGGCCTCCAATCTGTGGATGCCTGCGGATTAATGCTGCAGGCAGATTTCTTATGATGTGATCCTCTCATTGCTTTCCAACTCAATGCAAGCCATGTCTCCATCTACTGCGTGCAAGAGCTGTCGTTTGACCCACTTTTCATCATGCTAGATGCATGGAGAATTCAGTCAGTCTCTCTTTCTGTAGCTCTCTCACCATCGCTGAAAGGATGATGGAGAAAGGAAAGAAAACACTTGTCCTATCCGTCCATGATTCTTCCATTTGTTATGTTTCTGTCATTCCCAAGTGAAGAACATAATTCTCAGCCCAGCTTGATAGGATGATCCATGTTTGCTATCCTGATGGAGGATTAGAATATTAAGCAACCGAAGCTTGTAAGTTTTGCAGCCACTGATCTCATCCAGTGTCAAACATTTCACCGAATCTATTTTTAACGTGTTAATAATGGCATTTAGAAGATAATGGCATTTAGAAAGAAATGAAAATTGAAAGATTAGATGTCTCATTTAGAAGATAAATTATTAGTGTTGGAAATGATAGGGTATATTTTGGTACAACTCCTATTGGTAACAATTAACAGTCATGTCAGTGCTAACGCGGAGCCTCGATGCATTGTGTCGATGTCGTCCGAGGTCATATGAGATGACGAGCGTATAGCACAAAGTTACTCCGAAAAGCTTGGAACAGTGTCGTGCGATGCAGATCCATGTAGGTCGATTGGTGCTCACACAGGAGGTACAAGTCGGTCGTCCGAGGAGTTGATCGTCGTTAATGGATCAAATATGATCGACCCTTGTTCATAGGTATAAAAGCCAACCCCCTGATCGACATTAGGAAATCCCCCCTCCTAACCTCGGCCTGTGTGCAGGGGCCTGACGACGAAAAAGCAAACCACTCACCAAGGGAGAAGACCACAATCGAGAGATGAGGCTCAAACTCAACTCGACTCGACATTCGATTCTACCACTCGAGCATCCACATGGGCAACTTTGTGCATCTGGGATTTAGTCCAAGCCATGTTGACACCTTGCCCATAACGTAAAAGTTCATTAACAAGAAATAATCCTCGATCCGATCTGTTGTCACATTTGAAAATCAAGTCTCTTCTCAAAACTTTTTTTTTAAGCTAATGAATCATACAAAACTATACCGGAGGTATTTTTTTAAATCAAGAAATTAGTCAAAATAAACTTAATATAGCTTTCTAAAGTCTTTATAAAAATGGTATGTGATTCATGAGAACCAAAATTTGCAGACTCCACCACCCACTATCCATTGCACTCATAGAACAACATGCTGGAGTATTAAAAAATAGTGAACAAAGTATATCCATGCATAGAAATTTCTTGAAAATTTGTCATGATCTATTTTGGCATGATGGATGAAACTATAATTTATTTAGTTTTAATGACAAAACATATGAGCAACATACTTTGTTTTTAGAATTCTCCTCCTTATGTTCTTCAATACCTTCCTATTAATAATTCCTCCATCGATTTGATGTGAAGAACCTAAAAAATAATTTATTAGTTTAAAGAATAACACATGAATTTTCAAATTACCATACCGCCCTCAAGCATGCAGATAAGCAAATCCTCATTCGATGGGCATTGAGATAATTTCATCTCATTTGAATTTGCATTTAGTGGGAAAACGTCAATTAAATATTAATTCGTCAGAGGGGGCATTATCGTCATTTGGTTCCTTCGAACACGAACTAAATGGAGACCGACTACTGACCTGCCGCCCGTTCCGGTCCTAATTTTCGAATTCGTTAAGCGTTCGCTCTTACATTCCGGTCGGGAAGTGAAGAGGGGCGAACACGCGAAGCCCTAATTCCCAGTCTCATTCCCCCTCTTCTCCCACTCCTTCGAAGGTGACGATCAACCCCTAACGTTTTCGTCCCTGTGGTTCCTCTTCTGGTCTGAGATCCTGCCTCTTCGCTCGTAGGTGTTCGAGGTTTCTTGGCTCGTGATCCTGCCAATGATGGAGAGCTCGGAGGAGGCCAAGGCGTTGCACAAGGACTGCGTCAAGGTAGCCGTCAACGTCCGGCCGCTCGTCACCACGGAGCTCCTCATGGGCTGCACCGATTGCGTCACCGTCGTTCCTGGGGAACCCCAGGTCTTGATTTCGCAAACCATGAACTTTACGTCCTTGCGAGAGAAAAAGTTCTATTGTTTTTTTTGTTTGTTTGTGTCATTGCCTGAGAAAAATATGAAGGATGTGTTTTTTTCCCCAAGTTCTGGTGGTGAATAAGTTGCTTTGTGATAGACCGCTGTATTTCCAGAATGTTTTGTGGTTTTCTAATGGTGGTCCTCCTCCCTCTATGTTCTTTTTAGTTGGTCTGTGCTACGCTTCCGATAAAGGTTTCACCTTTTCCACTAGGTAGAGGTGGTTTTAACTGGCGCTGATTCTAATCCTAATTTTGAATCCTAGCAGCAGAGCTTCTTTAGGATTGTATGATCAAGTTTCATGATAACATCAATAACTGCTGATCCTACTATGTGCAACATACAGGTTCATATAGGAGCACATGCATTTACATTCGATCATGTTTATGGGAGTTCAGGATCTCTCTATTCCTCCATTTTTGAAGAGTGTGTTCTACCTTTGATTGATGCACTATTTCATGGATATAACGCCACCATTTTTGCATATGGACAGGTAGTTTGTTATATATCTAATTTCACTTTTGATCCATTTTTGATGTTTCTTCACATTGTTCTAACATGTGATTTGATTGTTTTGTCTACAGACAGGTTCAGGCAAGACCTACACAATGGGAACTAACTATACAGGCGAAGGTGATAGTGGGGGTATTATACCAGAAGTAATGGACATGATATTTAGAAAGATTGATGCCATGAAGGACACAACAGAATTTTTAGTTCGAGTATCTTTTATTGAGGTATGTCAGAGTTGGTCCTTTTCTTTCTCCATTTGATTTCACCTCCATGTATTGGTTAACTTGACCTTGCACCAGTCTCAGCCATGATTTGTCTACCAATTACGAACAAAAAACAGTATTGGTTTATTTGGTTTCATGTAATATTGTGACCTGTTGCACCTCATTTGCAGTGCTTTCTTCAAATAGGGAAGATGCCTGATTAGTCTTCTCACCGAATTATTTTCTAAAATTTTATTTTTCACTATACAGATATTTAAGGAGGAAGTCTTTGATTTGTTAGATCCACAATCTCGAACTGATGGTACTTCTGTAGTCAAACCAGCAGTGCCTAGAGCTCCGATACAAATTAGAGAGACAGCAAATGGTGGGATAACCCTTGCTGGTGTTACTGAAGCTGAAGTGAAGTCGAAGGAGGAGATGGCATCTTATCTAACTCGTGGGTCCATTTGCCGTGCAACCGGAAGTACAAATATGAATAATCAATCAAGGTTGGATTTTATTAAACAA